TGTCTGATAAAAATATAATCCGTAAAGGTTGATCTTCACTTACCTCTAACATTCTTTAAAGTAACATGCTCGCTCATGTCATGGGTGCCTGGTTGTGTCTGCTTTTCACGACAGACAATGTAAAATCAGGAGTGAAAGCTGGGCAGTTCAGATCAGAAGCTTTTCTGGGTCTGCAACAGAATGTAAGTCTGAATTGTTCAGGGCTTTCAGCTCCACCTTCTCCACCTTCTCTCAGTCACTTATCCCATAGGACAATTCTTATTAACATGTAATTGTTGAGATCCTGTTTGCACCTGTCATGTAGTGAACTGTTCTTAATGTTGCATTTCATGTACAAAAAAAAAAAAAAAAAAGCTGGCAAAAGTGATGAAAGACCTTCCCTTCCAGGAGCAGTTATGAACATTAGGCTTGCTTTTATTATGAAAGATAAGAGTGCAGCAGTTCCTAAGGTTTTAGAATGGCATAGACAGCAAGGAATAAAATGAAAAATGGACCATTTTAATGGAACAAATGACACCTACTGTTTGCTGCAGCCTTTGAGATATTCTAAAAGTGCTAAAATTTACAACATACAAAAAATAGTCAGGGAGATTGGGGCGGAACTTCTTTAACTCCATACTACTTTAATGATTAATTTTGTTTGTACTCATTCTCTTCCTTCAAGGTTATTCTTAATTACCAGTGTGGTAATACATAGGAATCTTTTGCAATGCTAAAGCACTGAAAGATAAGTATGCATATTTTGATTTGTTTGAAAGAAGTGATGTCTATGACAGATACAAGAAAGAAAAACTTTCTGTTCTGAGATCAGAGGTATTCAAGACAACAAAACTTGGGTTTAGAAATTCACAAACTGTTTCCCTTCATCAGGCTAAGCAAAGTAGGCCTGTGAGGAAGCTAATTCATGTCATGTATATAAAGCAAGTCAAATTCCAGCTACTACAAACCTTTTATGTAAGACTTTGCTGACCCAATAAGTGGTGAAATATAAATAGATCAACAGTACACCCTTCCTTCTGCTGTTCTACCTAATGCTTTCTTGCCTTCAGGATTGAAGAGTATTTGATCTAATGAGTCTTAAATCAGACATTGTTTCCTACAGAAAAACCCAAAATCCAGGAGAATAAAAATTTAATGGTGTAGGACTGCTCTTGTGATTTTAGAATGAGAAGCTGAATTAGGACTATACTATTGTTCTTCCTTTTTTTTCATATATATATTAACTTCACAAAGCTATAACTGCCTGCCTCTCTACTTGCTCTCCTTAGCTACCCCTGCCAGGTGGCTTGACATGAGCCTCTTCGAAAAGAGTAATTGTGTTAAACCTATATTAATTTACTTTCTCCTTTTCAATAATACTTAAAATGCCCTCTTCATCCTGCCTGCAGGTCTCCACTGCTGCTCGGAAGATGGAGCACTTTTTATTTTTAGTAACAATCTCTCTCATGCTGGGATGGAAGAATCTTAAACCAATTAAACACATTAGAAGATAACAGTGTGTGTGGGTTTGGTTCAAGATCTCCATTTTCTTCACTCTGGGGTATGTCCTAATACCAGCCTTTCTATCTAAGATGACAGAAATAGTGTGATAAGCTGCTAACTAGGTAAGCAGTACAGCTGCTGCTTTGTCAGGTATTCCCTTGCCAAAAAATCACTTGTGATGGGTTTTGCCTTTTTTTTTTTTTAATTCCATTACACTTAAGTTTTATAAATGATCTCAGTTGTGACTTAGGAAATTTTTTTCAGATGCCTGTTTCTTTTTAAACATTTATTTTTTTAAAAGAACAAATCTCTTGAATGTGAAGTGTTTTTTCCAGTAGAAGAGGATTGTGTGTGTGCACTTTTAAGATTTGATGATTTGTTCTTCCCTTTTAATAATGCTTAGTTACTGGGAAAAAACTTAATGAACTGGCTAGAGTATTCTGATCCCTTAAAATGTGTCTGGATCCACATGTTTTAACTCTGTGTATACACTCTGAATAGCAGGTTGATTTCATTTTTTTATTTGCAGAAGTTGGAAAAGTGTGTCCTGAACCTGCACATGCTTCTGGCTAGGCCAGAAAGCCTTTGGCTACACTGACACTAAACCTTTATTCATTTGATATGGAATTTACGTGGGTTAGCAATGTCCAGATTGTTTAAATACAAGATATTTTCTAGGAACTGTGGCATGCATTGCTGACCTGTATGCTCTCATCAGCATGGAGCTTTTTGTTTATTCTTCATCTTTAATTTGACAGTGAGAATACAAAGCATGGGGCAGGCTGTACTGCATGGATTTACTCTTACAGTGGAACATCAATACAGAATAAAGTCTGATAGCACTTTATAGACGTCTAATGCCCCAAATGTTAACATATCTAGCATTGTCCAGCACGGCAACATAACTTGTATCATCTCTCTTGGACTGAATTGAGAGATAAATCCTTATAGGGAGAGGCGACAGATGTCAGTAGTCTACAGCAGTGTATTCTCTCACCAGAAATAATAGGTCACTATCACTCTATAACTGTATTTCAAGTAAGGATAATAATTAAGCTGTGAGGCTACGTATACTCTTTGAAGGGCACTTCTAATGTAATACTTTTGAAAATGGAAAATGTGATTTCAGAGTACTCCAAAAATTGATAAGGGAAGAGGGCCAGGAAGGTAAGGCAAGGCATGGCAAGGAAAAAGGAAGATGATCCATTAGTTAGAGTACTGGTATAGCACTTGGGAGGCTGGATCAGTTCCTGTGCAATGCTGGGTTTGCTGTTCTGGTTAGCATTTCATCTCCAGTTCAGAGGTCCTTGTCTACTGCTCAGTTAGGCACTACACAGCCTATGGCCAGACCTGTGAGCTCATAATTCCCACTGATATTGATAGTGAACAAATAGCAAGTAAATATTTCTGAAGGGGATAATTTATTAAAGGTAATATAGGTTTTTGATAATCAAGTGCCCGATTTACTGAATTGCTGTACAGCTAATAGTCAAGAGTGTTTGCATTGCAAGGTGTTGTGAAGATAAATTAATTTGTCAGTGAGATGCTCAGATTGTCTCATTTGTTATTTTTCCCTCGTACATGGCATTTGATAGATTGCACACTGCTTTCTATGCAAATAGCTTCACCCTGGCTAGTTTGTATGTTTGTCTGTGGGAAGATGTATCTAAAAATGGTAGATTTTTTTGGACATTTTAAATTATGGTTGGGGCGGTTCCATCCTGCGGGTTGCATTGGCTGGGGACTTTGAGTTTTCCAGCCAGCACCACATGAAGTGCCCAGCCCTGCTGCAGGTTCTTCTTGCCATGCTGCTGCTCATTTTCTCTCTCTGACTCGCCTGCCTACAGCCCCCATCTCTCTTGGTTTGGTAGCTGGGGAGAGATCTCCACTTTCCAGCTTCCTGCCAGGATATGGAGGTGGCATATAGGGCCCTCCGGGGATGATGCTTTCCATCTTCTCCCCCTTTCCCTCCTGCCTTAATCCCAGTACAAGTGGTAGATATTATGTGTTATAGAACAAGTCTAGAAGGACATGAGCAGACTGCCCTATGCTCCCTCTTCCCGTGCTCCAAGTTGTTGGTAAGTTTTGGAAGCTGTAAGGCCATGCCTGTGTGAACAGAACGTGTGCATGCATTCCCACCTTTCTCCTCCCCCTTGCCCTTTCAGTGGGACATGGAAAGTCTGGCCAGACTTCAGGAAGGGAAAGGCTCCTCACATCTGCGCTGAAGCAGCCATCTTCCCTTACCTCCTTCACACACGTAATTTTAAAACAAATGTTACCCTGTAATGCAAAATTTGCTGAAGCATCTGTTTCTTCTCTGGAGCTCTGGAAAAATTTGATCAATGTGACGAGTTTGTGTGAGTCTGCCTGGAAACTGCGTATGTTAGAGGATGAGTTCAATATGCATATCTCTGACAGCTCCTATTTTTACCTTCGTCAAGGTCCATATTATCCCTCTTATGTTACTCTACCTCCCCAGTCAGTTCCTTGAGCAGCTGGTCTCTCCTCTTCTCCCAGATAGTTTCCAGTATCTTGTCTAGGAAGTACTGAGTACAAAGGCTGCACTGCCATAAACCAGCAAAAGGAAACACCTGGAAAGGTGTTGGTTTGTGTGGCCTTAGCTCACAGATCCTGCTCTATTTAGGCTGCTTACATTTGTGCTGGTGACTCCTCAGAGCTGCTCTGGTGAGCTGTGGAGCAGGAGGCTGCTGCAGGGCCTCGGGCTCACTGACAGGTATATCCCTGTTCAAAATGGCATCGGGCAGGTGTGCAGGTGCCTTGTTCTGATGTGTCAATGTCTGAGTTATGTTATGGGAGAGATTTCTCAAAGGTGTGCTTAAGATCATTATTAATTGTCCCTTTGAAAATGTGAGTATTTCATACTTGCCTATAACTTTAATGACTCATTCACTGATCTGGGCTTTCTGAAAGCTAGCACAGCCTCACTTGCTGAGAGTGAAAAGAGAGGATCTCTCTTTGCTTAGTGCTCAGCAGCTGAAGAATTCCCGTGAGTGGCAGTTACCAGGTCAACAGCAATAGAACAACCCTTGATATTAATATTTTGTAAACTAGGAAAACAAGCTTGATCGGGTGTTTTTCTAATGTTATATAGGAAGCACTTCTTTTTCTAGCATTTTTCAAACGCTGGAGAACAGCAATTGTTTGCGTAGAATTATCTGTTATTGTTAGTAATGTTCTTGCTTCTCTGCAGCACAGTGACATTGCCTTTATCCTTTAGAAGCAATGGAAAATTATAAATGAGGTTAACAAGCTTCAGTCTAAAGTGAAAACTAAATCTGTGACCATACAACTCTTGTTGCATTCATTCTGGTCAAGGGTTGGTTTGTTCATTTATTTTCTGGGAAAAAGCATCTCTTTTCCTTGGCCTCCTGAGAATCAGAAAACATGATTGAAACTCAGCTGGAGTAGCCTATTTCAGGGCTTAGCAAAGAATAGTAGGCACAGCGTTTAGGGATGTAGATAGCTTGTTTTCCTTAATCGCTTCCCAATCAGAAACTGGATGAACCTTCGGGATGCAGAAACAGGGAAAATCCTCTGGCAAGGAACAGAAGATCTGTCTGTACCTGGAGTGGAGCATGAAGGTACTGTGTGGCCTTACTGTGCATTTTGGGGCTGGGTGGTGCTGTATGTCTGGTTCACCAGAGCTGCGAGCATACCCTGCTTTGAAGGACAGATGTCCTGGCTGTGACTTCACACCTTCAGAGGCTTCCACCACAATAACCTGGGGACACGTCGAGAAGGGTGGGAATGGATCAGTGGTTGGCAAAGGGGACAAGTTAAACAACGCTAAGCAGGGGGCACATCTGGGTAAGGAATGAGTAGCCAACCTTTGCTAGGTCGAGTGTTGGTTCCAAAATGAAAAGTATAAAAATATATTGACCTTTCTCAGTATAACAACAGGGTTTAGTTAAGGTAGAGGTCAAATGGAGAACCAGTGGGGAAGAAGCACACGCAGTTATTACCTTGCCAGGCCACAACTGTCCTCTAATATTCTCCTGCACTAAATTTGACCTCTGCTTTAAAGTGGAACACACTCTGCTCTTCTGTCCCTCTACTATTGCTAGAAAGGCCTGTTGCCCTTCCACTTCTGTCCTTGCTGAGTAACAGAGGACTTCACTGTCCCTTACTCTTTCCCATTTGTGACAAAGCACTGTGATAGGTAACATCCCTTGCCAAGAGCTTTGCTTTTGCTCTGTGAAGAGTCTGACCTCACTGAATTAATTTTGAAGGCTTTTCTATTATCTGAGTACCATAGCTGATCTCCAGTAAGTGGAGTGAACTTGATCATTTAATTATGCTGGTGACATTGATGTATTTTTGGTTAAACATCAAGGACTGAGTTATGCCTGGCACTACTAGGACTTACTTCTCCCATAAATTGGAAAATCTGTTGTGTCTGAAGGAGGCAAGCAGCATGTAAAGATCTTTCTCTGTCCAGAGAGCATACAGAAGATCTGTGGCAAAACACTGTGAGTCCAGTAGTCTTCCAGCAATATACCTGGTTTCAAAGCCAGCTTAAGATGCAAGAGAAACAAGTTGCCTTCTCTTCATTTGGTCCCCAGTCAACATTCATCTGCTTTATAACAAGAGTTCATTATTAGGACCAGCAGTAGGTTGTCTCAGCTTATGAGGGGCCTGATGCCAGGGATAGAGGTTGCAGGTCAGAGCTAGAGGAAAGCAAAGCTGTGACTCAGTGGTTACTAAGAGCATTTTCCAAGCTTTGTCTCCTTCAGCCTTGCTAACCTGTACTCCCATTCTCATACTAGTGGTAACAGCAAACAGTTCTGCCAATAGGCCTTAACATGTATTTACTCATGCTCACCATACAAGATACCTACACTAAGGAAAAGCATTCCAGCACTTTCAAATACACCTGTAGGAAAGCAATGGAAATACAACTTTGAAAAGAAATGCAGTAATTCATCAGTTCAATACTACATTTCTTAAATTGCAGGCTAGCAATGCTTTGCCTTTTCGATATAACTGTAACTTTTGGCACGCCTATAGCAGCTAACAGGAGACCTAGGAGAAATGAGGATTCAGGCTTTAGAAATCAGAAGAAAACCAGCCAAAAGTATTCCCAGTCTTCCCAGATTTTATGCTGCAAAAGCTTCTCCTTGGACACATGGCTAGTCTTTGAATCCTCTTCACTCTGTCTCAACAAACTGTTGCACTGCCTTGGTTCAGTGCAAACTACAGAAATGCGTGCTTTGGGGCAGAGAGAACAGCTGGAGCTGTGTCTCGTGAGGGTTTGTTGTGCTGCCCCATTTCCCTCCTGCCATCTTTCTCACTCTAGCAAATCATATCACCTCACTGTGTCTCAGGTTTTCCTCACATATAAAACGGGAACCCTCACCTCCATCAGAGGAGCTTGGGGAATTAATTAAAGCATACTCTAGCATGAGATTAATGCCCATTGTACAAGGAATTGTTAAGACCTTATCTGGTGTGCAGTTCAGTCATCCATCTAGAAGATGGATGACTGCAAACTGGAACAGGTGCAGAGAAGAGCTATTAGGAGAAGCCACTGAAAGGATTACGGATGGGAGGATGGTCTTTGTTAGGAGAAGAGAAGAAAAAAGCCATTCTTGTATGGCTTAGCAAGAAAAGAAGGCTGAGATGGATAGATTATTCCCAATAAATGGGCTAAGAAGGGGAAGATGTGTCCAACAAAGGAGGATTATCTGACTATGAATTAAGGTGTGGGGAAATGGGGTTCTGGTACAGTCCTGCAACAGAAAGAGTGAGGGCAAACAGTCAGAATAATTGTTTTAAAATTAAGGCCATGTGTGTCTCAAAGTCATTATATAGTCCTTGTGTGTGTGTGTATGTTCTGTGGCCATTCAGGGCAAATCACAGTCTAGACATAGCAAACAAAGAATCAGATATATAGCAGAGTAAATAAAATATATTTCCTTTAAACAGGACTTCTGTTTGCTTTTAAAAAAGGACTTCTATTTGATTTAAGTACAGGTCTCTTTAAAAAATGAACTCTTAAGTTTCAAATCATGATACTGTATTACTACCTAAACTCACTATTACCACTTAGATTAAATTAAAAGAATATTAATGTGGTATTGGATTGCTGCCGAAGTCTTAACACCAACCTGCTGAAAGTAGTGAAAATCACTGCCTGAGCACCTGAAACTGGAATTAACCATCTAAACCAGCTTCCGACAGCAGGAGCTTTTCCATGTACCCAGTCAGCTCAATTCAGTAACAGCGCATCCAAAACTGGGAGGCAGTCTGGGAGGCACCAATCCATAAAGTTTGGTTTCTTCCAGTATACAAGAAAATCTTGGAGTAAGCTGCTGAGGTCTAGCACTTGTAGAATCCCCAGTGTTGTTCACAGTCACCACAGCCAGCTTTCATTCAAGAAATACAAACAATCCTTTCATTTTCTAAGAAAAGATGTAGTTTGAAATATAAAAGAAGTTTGGCTAAGATAGCTTGCTTTCTTACACATCCCAAATATTTAAAGTAGTTTTATTAAACTATATGAAACATAATGATACAGATATTTTAATTGAATTACAGTTTCTAACTAAATGCAGTTGGACCCAAAATGACTTGCTTAGTAAATAAGAAATGTGTCGTTCGTCACTTTCTAATCTAATCAGAATTAAGTGTCTGACTAAATGTATGTTAGGTACATAAATGCTTAAATAAATGTGCAGGTATAGTATATCCTCAGGTTAACAAAAAGCAGTACAAAATTTAGGATAACGTATATGCTTACCTGCATTTCAGCATGTTTTAAAATGGTCCTAACAGATGAGAATCAAACTTCTTTCTCTTCTATCTTTCTAATGGGAAAAAAGAGGTATAAAAACAAAGTGAGCTTAAAATAAAGAATTTAAATTAAAATTTTCTGCTTGGTGGTAGACATATCAATTAAAATCTCTTAGATCAGGGGTTTAAAGACTACACAGTCCTACTTTTATTAAAAGTAACCTTTTATTTTGTAGTTTTATAATATTAAAGCAAACATTCTCAGCAGTCTGTCTTGGGGATGAAAGAAATGTAATTACTAAATTGCAGAAGTCATTTTACACTTAACTGCAAAGGGATGTTTATTCACGACAGGCTGTAGTCTGTACTTGTGAGGGCAGTAAAGGATGGTGCCATGCAGATTTCTATGCTGAAAAAAAAAAAGACTAAAAATAATTAGAGAGCTTTTATATTTAAAACTCTTCTCTTACACTTTTAACTTTCTTTTTTTACCTTTTTTTTTTTTAAAACAAACAGTGGGCTGTGTACTTCTCCATGGGATAGGATGGTAGTTTACATTCCCTAACCCTCCAGCTCTCTAGCTTGTTTTCATATCAAGGTCCTACTCCATTAAACTGTTCTACATTAGATGGATTTGCCTGGGTTTTGGTAGACTCTTCCTTTTATTAAACAGCAGCCTGCTGTCTGCTCATGGATGTTTTGATATGTTTTCCACTTAGGAACAGTTTGGCTCATAAAGTACATGCCAGCTGTGTTCCCTCCCTTCTTTATTTCCAATAAATTTACATGAAACATCTTCTAATATGCAGGAAGGATTATGTACAATCACACCACTGAAGTATGATGGGCTTGGGAGATTTTTAGTATGCTGACTCCCCCGCCTCGTATTCTCCCGATTACGACCTTTCAGCATATTAATCAATGCTCCCAAACTGTCCCTTCTCTTACTCCTCCACCTCTAAAAAAAGCCTTATGCAGTATCTACCAGGTACAGTTTGCCGCTTGCTGTTGGTGTCTCACCCATTGCAAGAGACCAGATACCTTGGATTGCCAAATTAGTCTCTAGCTTGGTATTGACTTTACTGCCTGTGTGGGTTTCAACGTTTGAGGAACAGACATTTTGCATGCTTTTACAGGACGACTTCTCAGAGCTATGTGAGACGGCTGAAACAATGCTGCTGGGCTGAGAAGTAGCCGTTTGTGGTTTGCTGGGGATGCACAGTCTGAAAGGGAAGGAGAAGTGAGAAGGGCTACCGCGCTTGGTGTACCAAGCAGCCCTTTGGCTGCTTGTGATCTTCAGCACACTTCCTAAAGTAAAAATTTAAGTTGCATCTCATATTTCAACTTGAAGAATTGTGGGGTTTAGTAATAAACAGCTAAGAACCAGGAGTCTGAGAGATCAGTGTTGCATCCCTGGTTCTGTCACAAGTCTCATTCCTGGCTCTGGGCAAGGTAATTAACCTATCTGCATCTTGGATTTTACTCCTGCAAATGTAAAAACAAAGTCCTTTGTCTTTGCATTTCTCCTGCTGCTGTGATCTTGTACTAGCACTACTCATTACTTCAAAGTATATTATAATAGCACCTGAAGCAGCTGGGTTTGTTTTATTGTGTCCAAATAATGCTTCTTTATCTGTTTCACAGCTCGAGTTCCTAAAAAAATCCTGAAATGTAAAGCAGTGTCTCGGGAGTTAAACTTTTCCTCAGCAGAACAAATGGAAAAATTCCGACTGGAACAGAAAGTTTATTTCAAAGGGCAGTGTCTAGAAGGTATGCATCTGCTCTGTGTGCAGTCCTGCTGCAGCCAGGGAGTGACCCCCAGTGCAGCAGGGATTAGAGAAACTAAAATGGGTTGAATGTGGTGATTTTATTTTTTCAGAGTAGCACTGAAGCACTCATCTTGTCAGGACTAATGGGCCACAGTATTAGGGATAGCATTTCATAAGTGTATTAACACTTTGTTATGTAAGCAAAAAATCTGGGTAATCATGCTTCAGGGCATAAATCCACCGCAGGCTGCCTGAGGCAAGGAAACAGGTTATTTTAGAGTCACCCGTTACGGGGATTCATGCATCTTCCTCAGAAGCACCTCGTGCCGGCCACTGCCAGACTGGAGGTCGGACTAAAGGAGCCTCTGGTTTGCTTTGGTTACAGCACTGCCACCGAGTATTGTCCGTGTGACTCCATAGCTGCACATCTGATCTCCCTCACTGCAGTATTGCTCTTAATCTGGGGTGGAGGAGGGGGAGATAAAACATTGAGCTCTTTGTCTCTTGGGCAACCAGTTGTACACTTAGTCTCAACTGGATCCGGGGGATGTCTGCAAGATGGGAGTGTGGTTTCCCTGTTCCCAATTAGGTGTGATGAAATTTCCACTGAATGCTAAGGAAGTGGTGTGACTTTATCATTACCATCAGCTATTTTAGAAAGGGAGTATCTGCTTTAAGAGGAGGGCAGGGTTCAGTGCAGTTTAAGCTGTACAAAGTAATTTAAATGTAGAATGTTGGCAGCCCAGCAGGACAGTTTAGGGAGTTCCCCAGCCTGTCAGGTGAAAAGCAAAAGGACCATTTGTGGATTTTATCTTCTTTCAAATGCCTCTGGATCTTCTTTTTACTTTGCAGAATGGTTCTTTGAATTCGGTTTTGTGATTCCTAACTCCACAAACACTTGGCAGTCCTTGATAGAGGCAGCACCTGAATCACAGATGATGCCAGCTAACGTTTTAACGTGAGTGCCTTGGGCTTACAGAATCTGAGAGCAGGCAAAGAAAAAGCAGTGTGTGGCATTTCCTTGGGGGCCACAGTGGGAATGAAGAGAGGGAGCTTCTAACAACTCTGAATCACCCTCACTACTGTTAGCTGTTGAGAGATAAAAGGGGCTAAGCCAACCTCATTACCTTCTTTCCCGTAGGTCCAATTTGCATTAATATAGCAATGAAAGTTTGGAGAAAGTGGAACTGATCCTTTATTAGAGTTGCTTAATTTTTTTGAAAGGTGAACCATGGAAGGATTTTAAAATGCTTTGTGGCTTAATAACCCTTACCTCCAGGGGGGAAAAAAAAAAGGAAAAAAAAAAAAAAAAAAAGGGATGTTTGGGCCATTTTCAAATCCAGCTATTGATCACTGACTCTTGTCCAAGGTGGTTGTTTTTCATGCAATGTATTACCCATAGGAGCCGCTCTAGCGTTTGTTTCATCACTGTACCATTTTGCCAAGTTTTGTGTCTTTTACATTGGATTATAAACTAAGCATTTAGTCATATGGAGTTGTATCTGGGGATAAAATACCCCTAACAGGTAGGAAACAGTAATTTTACAGTCGCCTGTAATGGGATTCCTATGCCTTCCTCAGAAACGTCTAGTCCTGGCTGCTGTTTGCACATTGACTTCTGAGTAGGTCAGCGATCCCTAGGACTTGTGTCAGAATGATGTGTGCTGGGCATTGCTCTGAGTGTGGACAGCAAGGCACAGGCTTTAGTGGGATGACGGAAAAGGCTCCTTGAGGGAGGCCCCTGGGAAGCTGTAATCACTGACAAAAAGCCACCCTCCCTGCAGTGCTAGATGGGTGCTGGCAAGCACATGAGGAGCATGTTGCCAGCAGAGACAGAAGGGTATGGGAATCCTCCTGCCAACAAGAGGCAGACAGGGAGCAGCCAGTCTCACTGCAAGGTCACTGTGTCCTCTGGAAGACCTTCCTCTCCAGCATTTTCCCTCTCGTTCCTCGTCTGGAGGAAAGCCAGTCACATAGAGAAGGCACCAGGATGGGAACTACTGTCACTGATTTCTATTCACAGCATGTTTCAAAGAGAGAGAGGACTCAGAAGAGAGCGTCAGTGTTCAAATAGTGCTCCCTGGCACAATCTGCTCAGAACACACATCCTCGGCTCCCAGTGCCTTTCAGCCAGTACAGGAGGAGCCAGATTTGGGAACCAGCGTAAAGAAACAAAGACATCTGACAAGTTGGTTTTGACCATCTCAGGAAATCAAGGCATTTTGAGGACTGGGAGTCATGAGAGTCCAGTTGTCAAGTGACCTTGAGGATTTTCCAGTGTCCCATTCTTTCCCTGCAGTCTGTCCACTTGTAGCGGGCAGCCCAGATCTCTCTCCTGTTCACAGAGGTGTCCTAAAGTAATTCTTGAGGCTTTTCAGTAGAATCACCAGCCCAATGAAATCCAGAGGGGGTTTTGTGGCCCAAAGAAATCAGCTTTTTTCAGCTGCCAGGACTTGGACAGCCCCTCACTTTCTGATATTCCCAAAGACCTCATGTTTGTCTCAGTGTTTCCATAGCAGGAGAGAATGGAGATGTGGTATTTGGTGCTAACCAAGGCACCCTGCGCAAAGGATTCCCAGGATGACTGAATATCATACTGGGAACATTCCCTGACAGTTGAGTTCAAGCATTGTCCACGCCACGGCAAAAACCTTACGCTCTTGCCAGGTTCAGCTTTGCCAGTGTTACAGACACCAAGAGCCACAGTGGAGATGGAAGTGCTGCTTTGATTTTCAAGAGCCAGGTTATTTAGACAGGGTCAGATCACACTGCTCAGGTGTCCAGGTGTTGTAGTGACCCTGAAGTTCTTACCTTTGAGTACCAAAATCTCAAAGTCAGCAACTTAAATCATCAGAGCTTTTGTCACACCCAAATCTACATCTCCATTGCAGTTTGTATAAAATATGCATGTGTGTTTGCATTTAAGCACTTCTTGAGGGAAATGACTTAAGTTGGTTGGAGTAGCTTGCTCAGCACTAGAGGACAGAGATGGGGAATAAAAAAAGCATTCCCATCGGTTTTCACAATTCACTGCAAGAGAGAGGGGCCTGAAGGTGCTGGGACTGCTAGTTTATTTTTAGCAATAGAAGTGAGCAGACGTTTGTGAGGACTCTCTGCAGCCTGCGTGGTACTGTGCCCAGAACGGGGGCGACGAGGGAGGGACGGGGGGAACTGCTCCATGCAAGAGGGCAGTGGAGAGATCCTTCAGCCCTGGTGGCCCCTGGATCAGGACACAGTGCTCACTGCACGTGGCTCCAAACCAAAGCTCGTGTTGCGGGGGGTAAGATGTTAGCCCAGGCTTGTGAGAGCATTGAGAGAAACAGTTGTTTTCTACTGTTCATGCACTCTTCTAATACCTCTTCTTTCTCCTCTTTTCCTTCCACAGTGGTAATGTTATTATAGAAACCAAATTCTATGATGACGACCTTCTCGTAAGCACTTCCAGAGTGAGACTTTTCTACGTTTGAGATGGGGCTTTTTGGAGCTGTTTTAGTTTTCCTCCATACAGTTCTTGGTGCAGAACCCCCCAACTATCCAGTGGAAGACACTCCCGTAGGCGGTGACCCTGGGGACCAGCTCAACATGGGTTGTGACCTTTGCCCATCAGTTATTTTGCTTTCTCCTCTGACAAGACCAGACCGAACCCTCAGAGACAGGACCATCTGCTCAGCGATGCACTGGGGAATAGAGGCTGTCTCTGAACACGGGCAAACGATGGTCGTGCAGAACCAATACTGTAAATTATGTTAGTCTCATCCTTTGTACTTCTCTGGATCCTGGTATAATCTCCCATTTCCACTCACACCAAACTCTCAATGCGTTTCATTATTGGGGGATTAAGTTAACCTTTTCATTTTTCTCATGTTGTAGGTTTTTATCCTTTCACTGGATTTCTGTGTAACTGGTCCACACATCCTCTTACCCTGAACTTGTAAAATAGACTGTGATATCACCTAATGTAATTAAAACAAATTTCTCAATTAAAACATTCCTACCGTCCAAAGAAGGGAAGAAATGTTAGTTCTGTGCGTTTTCCTTTCCGTTATAAAAATGCCTCACAGCAGGCACAAATTCCTATTGCTCAAGCCAGCGACAGAACAGGGCTTTCCACAGCCCTGCTGCTTCTACAGCCCTCATATCCTTGTTAAATTTCCTCCAGCTGACCACGTAGGAAAAGTTTCCTGACTGCTCTGACCAAGGTTTCTCCTTGGCCTCATTTCTGTCTGTTAATCCCTTGGGGCAGTTTGCCCAGTCACCGGTTTCTTGAGCAGCGCTGCACAGCGTTCCGCTTTTCTAAGTTCCCAGGGATGCTCAAACGCCTCTGGAAAACCTATGTTCCCCTGAGCCCACCAGCATCAGCCCTGTGCCGGGCTGAGCTCCCTGGAGCACAGCTGTGGCTGCGGTTGCCGACACCAACAATCCCCACACGTACGTGGTTTAATGACACACGGCGGCAATTTTGCAACAACAGTCTTCTCGAGCCCTACTTTTTTTTCTTTCCCCGGTCATTTATAATTTAGCTCTGGCATGTGTAAATCTTGGGGAGGGGGCATCTCCAGCTTCTGCTCTTAAACATCACAGACAGCGTTTTATAAAGCTCGACACCTTGGTCAGCCTGTCCCGTGGCTGGGCTTGAGAATCTCAGGAGAGTCACAGGCAAATCCTGCAGAGGGACCTGGACAGGCTGGATCGATGGGCCGAGGCCAACTGTATGAGGTTCAACAAGGCCAAGTGCCGGGTCCTGCACTTGGGTCACAACAACCCCATGCAACGCTACAGGCTTGGGGAAGAGTGGCTGGAAAGCTGCCTGGCCAAAAAGGA